GGAGGTGCCCTGAGGGCCGGGCAGTGCCGGGCGGGCGGAGGTGCCCTCAGGCGGCCCAAGGTGCCCTCAGGCACGGGCGGCTCGGCCGGTGCGGGGGGTCCCGGGGAGCTGGGCGGGCAGCGGGGCCGCCGTGAGGGCTCGGCCGGAGCCCGTGCTCTGCCCCTGATCGCCCGGCTGCCCGCACCCACCATCGCCGCCTCCCTGTTGGGTGGGAGTGCGAGCAGAACTCGCCGTTCCCCGCTCTGTGGGCACCATCAGCGCGGCCGAGGGTTTCCCGCTGCTCTCCCGCCCCTCAGCGCCGCTGGAGCGTCTGATCTGCTCCTGCCCCTCGGCCTATGGTGGATTCACTCTTTGGTGTTTATATTTGTTGCACTCCTCGTACCTTCATTACCGCCGTTCTCAAACGGGCGCATTTTGCAGTTTTGGGGCCCCTTCCCCGAGAGGTGGCAGCAGGATTGCGGGGGTGAGGGAGGAGATGGGCTATGCTGTGTTGCTGATGCCAGGGGGGACTGATGGCAGCAGCAGGATGAGCCATCCCCCGGCAGATTTGCCTTCTCAAGTGAAAGCCTGTTTGGTTTTAAACCTCTGATTCATCAAGGGAACAAATGGATGGGCTCTAGGGCACAGAAACACTCACTGAGCCGTGTTGGAGCAATCAATGAAAGCTGCTATGGAATTCTTTAAAACTCTCTTGTAGGTGATGGCCGGTGCTGTTGATGCCACAAACTGTGAGGAGAAACAGCTTCCTAATAAGAGAGAAACTATGATCTGGAAGCCCAGAAAAGGTAGGACAAAACAAAGCAGATGGTGAGTAATGAAATTTAAGCTCTGCTTGAGAAATTTACTTAAAATTTTTAGGTGAAGGGTGGGAAATGCCTCTTCAGTTACTGCACTGAATTACTTCCAGGTAGATATTTGTGTATGCCTAGGTGCAAGAGTAATTAATCAATATGACTGTTTTTAAACCAGAACCATGGTTTTTCAGCATACCTATTTTTTAAAAAAATACCTACAGGTGAATGTGGTGAAACAAGAACTGCTGGGTCCTTTGTCCTAGTTAAAGAGATATTTTCCAACAAGAGTGTGTGGAAACTCCTGAGTTGGGCTAGTGCTGTGATGCAAGGCTATGTTCACTGTTCCCAAGCATCTGTAATGTGAAGCAGCTCTGCAGTGATACTACATATGTAGGAAACTGCATGTATTATAATTAGATTAGTAGTCACAAAGTGTGTTTGTGTACCTATCTGAATTACTGTGTGCTGAGCATTTAATATTCCTGTTTAATTTCTGAGTGTATCTGTTGACGCTTTCTGTTGGTTTTAGAATGTTTGCTGGACAACATTCCAAATGTTCCTGACAGCAAGTCTGAGGAAAGTGAAGCCTCTGATGCCTCTCACAGTGAAGGTGATGACAGTGTCTCTCCTGATGACTGGTACAACGTGCATTTTTACCTGGATGAGGAGGATGATGAAGTCTACAGTATACCTGACTCTCCAAAGCTGCAAAGTGCTTCTGAGTACGAGGTGGAGGACTGGGATAAAGAATTGGAGGAGTCTGCATATGGTCCTTATGGTGAGTACACGTTTACTTGTGCTTCATTTGAATTTTGGATAGTAGGTGGTTGGAGGTAGGTGCTTTGCAGGAGAATGTGTTTGAGTAACTTCATGTTCTCTTTTGGGAAGCAATTTCTTGGTTTTTTGACCTCATGGATATGTAACAATTCTGCACAATTTTGTTGTCAAACACAGGATTTAAAGGTGGTGTTGTGAAGTTCATATGAAACTCTTGCTTGAGCAGTTGAATTCTTAGGGAGTGGCCTGGGAAGGAGGGGAATTCTATGTGTGTATTGACTTTCTGGGGAGAAGCAAATTCTTAGTGGTGTATCTTTGTTATTCTGAAGCAGAAGATAAGGGTAAATGACGTGCAGGAATGTAGCTTTTTTGGTGTAAAAGTTCTTCCTTTCCTCCAAGAAAATTCAAGATTGTCCTCTATAATGTCCCTCTAGAGCATGGAGTTCTTTGGAAGTGCTCAGTCTCTGAGTAGGATTTGTTGCTTTGGCTGTAGGGTTGGCTTGGTTTTGTTTGCTTTTTTGATTGTTGTTTTTTTTGGTGGAAGCTTTTGTTTGTTTGTTTGTTTGACTTTCTTGTTTGTTTTTTTGAAGCTTGATCCTCTGAAGTGGTTGTGCATGTGATCAGTCCCATGGGTGAAGGTGGCAGAGCACAGAAGTGGGTTTAGCAACATCTTTAGAGTTGAATTAATCCTCCAGTTTGTGACTTGTTGAACCAAGAGTCCAAACCTTGCATTGGCCAGGCTGGCTGTTAGTGTAGAACAGCTGGATGGAGTTCAGCCTGCTGTGTCTTTGATGAAAATAGGATATTTGCATTTTCTTCTCATTAATGTGTATCTTTTTGTAATTAATACACTTTTCTTTGCTTAGGAAATGTGAATTATCTGTTTATTTTGATTCCACAAGTGGCTGTTGTATTCAAGTACCAAGTTTGATTACGGAAGAAAGTGGGAAAGTTTTTGCAGCCTTTCCATGAAACTGTTCTGATTTTAAAATGGAAGCACAATATTGGTTTTTCACAGTGGGTAATTTGAGGAAAAAGACTGTTTCCTTTTTGGATGTTTTCCCTCTCTTCCATTCTGGGCTTTCCTTTAATCCCCCATCTGCTCAAATTTATGGTATGTTTTGAATTTTTTACTGGAACTGTCACAAGTTCTTTTTTTTTTTTTTTTTTTAAACTTACTTAACTCACTCATTCCACCTGTAGCTTGTGCTTTTGAAATCCTCACCAACTGAGCCAGCTGTGATTATGGGATTCAGGTAGTGAGTACAAGTGTCTCAGTTGTTAACTGCTACCAAATAAAAGAAGGTGCTTGGTTTGTTATTTTATGGCTTTTTAAAATGTCTCTTTAAGCACTTGCTGTGGTGGCTCGTTTAGCAGTGCTGCTGGAAGGCTGACATGTGGAATACTGTGTTGGGTCCTCTGCTCCCCATACTCTGGGCTTCTCCTTTGCTCAGTCCTTTCAGTGTCTGCTGCCTAGAAATCTTTCCCTTCTGTTAAAACACTTTTTGCCCAATTTTTGTGCCAGCTTGGTTAAAAACAGGCCTACTAGGTTTAATTCTGGCCTAGTGGAAATGTTCAGGGAGAGCTTTCACAGGACCCCACCCTCCCTTTCTGTCCAGTGACCCAATTCTTAAAGGCTTTGGAGGGCTCTTCATTGGGATGGGGATATGGAGACAGCAGGAAGGGGGAGGGCAAATAGAAGTAATAATTTCATGAGCCTTTTATTCCCAGGGAAAATGTGAAAGAACTGCCTGTGTTGTATGAGCTGGTGTCAGATGGGCTGAATCCAGGTGTATCATTGAGCTTTTTGGAAAACTCTTTTGTCTGTGTGGCAGGAACCTTCCTTCAAATGAAGACATTGCCAAATTCAGCCTCTGTTTGCCTTTTTATTTAGGTCTAATTAATGAGTGCTGGCAGGTGAAGTTGAAATAGAGAATCAAGAGATGCTGTAGGCCTGCATAAGAACCTGCTAGACTATACCACAACTTTCCTGAGTATCCCCCATGGTTTAAATCTTCTCTTTTATCTTTTGTAGATGCTGATGATCTGTCCTGTGGAAGCTTTCAGGAAAATAATGTTTTGGCCTCATATGTGTGGAACGAGGACTGGTTTTACTCCCCAGGCTGTCACCACACAGCTTGCTTTGTTTCTCCACCACGAGTCAGTACAAGAGTTGAGAGTGGCCAGTTTGATGATGCAGATGAGTGAGGCTGACCCTGGGCAGAAGTAAGTTTGGCTTCTGAGTTGGAATGTGTTCTTCACTGACTGAGCTGTGTCAAGTCCCTTAGTTTGCTTGCAGAGTTCTGCCCAAGGCCAGAAATGTGACACCACCTCCCAAGTTTTGCTCAGGTGCTGCTGAGCTGTTCTAAACTGCCCCCACTGGGCTCTGGAGACAAGAGTGCAGTGCTGGCTGTGACAGTGCATTTCTGGAGGTTTTGTTTGTATTCTGTAGATCTATGTTGTTACTAATTAATTGCTTGAGAAGAAGTGTTCAGTTTCTAAACTCAGACTGTTTACTTGCAGGGCTTTGTGAGTTTTGACATGCTGGTCTCTGTGTGTCTGTGTAACTTAGTTCCTTTTCCTTTTCACCTGATGCTGTCAGATGGGTTTGGAGAACTTTAGAAACTCTCCCTCCTTCAAGCTTCTCTGTTGTATTTCCTTGTGGTTTCAGTTCCCATTTGTGATTCTGATACTGCTTTTCAACAAAATTAGCTGTGGCAAATACAGAGTGAGTTGTTTTGTGTTTATTTGTATGTATTTATAAAGGACTTACAAATACATGATACATGTTTTGCAAACACACATGATGATACACAGTAGGGCCTGCTCCATCCAGCAGGAATGCTGGGTGCCTCAGGCTGCCTCCCAACAAAGCTTTTTCCACATCAGACCTTCTTGTTATATGGGCATATTACCCTGCAGTCCCAGTGTTGTCTTTATTACACTCTCATGCAGCATGAGATGTGTAGTGACAAAGACATTATGTGCTACAATATGTATATAAATCTGGGTGTCCTGCAGACAGTAGTGGATTGAGGTTCCTGATACTGTTTGTTGTGGCAAATGAGATGAGAACACAAAATACCTCCCTCAGAGAATAGCTGGAATTAGAACCATCTCCTCCTTGCTTTGCTCTGGAATTAAAGGAAATGTTCTCAGATGAAGTGTGTAAGATTGAATGGCTGGTCACCAGCAGGACAATAACCTTCACCCAATGCTCATGTTTCATTAATCACTTCTCTCTCAAAAACTTTTCATGGCTTTTTTTTTTTTTTTCATGTTTTGACACTGAACTGGAGCACAGTACAACATTGGGGTTTTGTTTTCTCATCTGATGTATGAGACCAAAATAATTCACACACTGGTTTGGGAGGAGGAAGTGGATATTTCCTTATTTTTTTCCTAGAGAACACAGGACAAGAGCTTTCCTTTGGGTACCTTTCAATTCCTGGTTATGTGTTAGCACTTAGCAGTTGAAGTATAGAGTGGAAACCTGGTGCTGAGGTTGCAAGAAAGAGGGTCTGTTCTTTAATTCCTATGTGGTGGAGTGACCTAGGGATTAATATTTCCCTCAAAACTCAGTTATGCCAATAACTGACTCATCAGCCAGAGTAAAAGAGTTGATTTGCATTTAGAAATGCGATTTTAATAAAATGAGTGCAGACACACTAGTAAACTGTAAACATTCCTGTGAAAAATCGGCTCGTTTTGTGAGCTCGTTTTGTGAGCCTGTTTATCCCTTGCCCGGCTGTTGTCAACGCCCAACGTTTCCCTGCAGAGGGCAGCAGCAAATTGTCTGCGCTGCTCGGGGTGTGTTCGTCAGGCGGTGTGAGCTCCCCGGGCTGGATTTCTAACGCTGGGAGCAGTTCAGATCTGTGTTCGGCATGGCCCTGTTGTTCCCCGGCGAGGCTGATTCACGGCCCCGATTAGTTTCTCTTTTTTTTTTTTTTTTTTTTTAATTCACTCCCAAGTTGGACTGAAAAATCTCTCCCGTGGCTGAGAGAAGAACATCACTTGACTTCAGGCTTAATATATTGGTTTTTACTGTGCTTGGGGGAGATATCCCACCGTATTCAATAAAGAGGAAACTAATAGAATTCTGTGGAAGCAAACCCATCTTTTGTAGAATTGTTTTAAAAGGATGACCAAAAATTCTTTATAACACTGATTAGAGTGATTTTTTTTTTCCTTACATTTCCAAAATTCCATCAGTACTGAATCTTAAAGCCATTTTCCATACAGTCTATAAATCAAGGTGTTTTTTCACCCTGTACCTTTAATTACAATCAGTCTGGTCTGTCTCCAAGGTCTTATTCTTTGAGGAGAAATTGTGTTGAATGGCTGCTTTGCTAAGCTGTTTGCATTTTAAATGACTGTCAACTTTAAAGATTTGTTTTCAGTTTCCATTTAAGGTTAAAACTGCCACCACCCCCACCAGGTCTGGGAAAAACAGCACGAGGGTTTTGCAGCAGAGATGCATCCTGCCCTCTCCAGGGATATGTTGGCAAATATAACTTTGTTCCTCTTGGCCCTGCTTGTTAGGGCAGGGGCTTAATGTAAAGCTTGATCTGAATACTCTCAAACTTCAGGGGGATTAGAAAACCAGATGCAGCCTCCTCAGAAAGCATCTGCCTGGGAGGATTTGAAACTGAGCTCGTGGATTCCAATGTTTCTGCTCTACAGAGTGTTTCAAATTCCATTGTGAATCTTGCACTGAGCCTGTTTTGTGTTGACACAAGTGTGTCATTCTAGGCAGGAATACATTGCATTTAAAACCAACAGAAGGCAGCATGGGAGCCAACAATTCACACCGAGAGTCAGCCCTTCAGCCTGCTCAAATTATTGGAGGGAAGAGAGTCCCATCACAGGACCAAGATCATAAATCTTGTATGCATACAAGAAACACACTGGCAGCACATAAATCAGCTGAAAAGTTTTCAGAAGTGTCAAAGATTTCTCAGTGAAATGCACATACATCCCTAACTCAATTTTCCTTCTACACCCACATTATAAATGTCATTCAAAGGACAGAGACCCTGCTGCAGGTTAATATGTTTGCTGGGTTTATGCTGTGGGGAAGGCTTAGGAGTGGAGCATGATAGGAGTGGAGTACTCTGCATAGTAGAGCAGGGTACAACTTTGATGCTGTCCTTGCTTTTCTTCTCATTTCCCCACTTTGTAGGTAAAGCTAAAGATACCAGCCAGTAAAGTGCTTCAAATTCACTGAGCAAGAAATTTTGTCTGAATAGTCAGGTTTTGAAAAACCAAACAGTTTTGCATTTTCTTTGAACAAGCCAGCAAAGAAATGAAAACTTGTTTTGGGTGCATCTGTTGTTTCCTTTGAGACCTACAGGCAATGATTTGCAAGAGGAAATAATTGAAGGAAATGTGTTCATATTTCCTGTTGATAAGGTACAGCACTTAATTCATACATCAGATTGAGATAGGGTTTCTTGGTCTTACATAACCACAAAATCCAGCCTGTTTTAGTGTCTTTTAAAGACACCACTGCTTCACTTGTTGTTTGTCCCATCTTACAGCTGGTGTGCTTTCACTCTTAAACTGAGAAAATGCCTCCACTGCTGAGGGGGGACTATGTGAGTAATTCCACAGACTAAAGGAAAAATGCTGATGGCAGCAGCTCATCCTGACCATCTGTTGCTTGCAAGGACACCAGTGTAAATCCCTTTGTAACAAAGGTCATTTTGTGGAGCTGGGTGAGTGTAGGCACAGGGAAGGAACGTGGGATACCCTCTGTGGGTCTGTGTTGCAAACAGAGACATCGGAAGCTCGACTATTAGAGGATAAATTTTGTGGTGGAGTTGTTAGTCCTGGGAGTACCAGCTGCTCATAGCATGGTTTCCCAGCTTGGCAGGAGAAACTGGAACCCACTAAAAAAAGCTGCAAAGCACACAAACCCAGTAATTGGGTTTAGTGATGGAAACAGCTTCCTTTGAGCACTTGGAACACAAATCCTCAGCTGGTACAAACTTTGGCAGCTCATTACCCAGGCAGAACCTCTGTCCCTGTACATCCCCTGAGCAGTGCCTGTGTCATCTCTGAGCTAAAGCTCATGTTTAGGGTTTCACTGTTGCTGTGGGTTTCAGTCCTTAATATAATGGGCTTTCCTTCCATTCCTTGTGGCTCTGTTGACCTTCACAGAGCAAAACCCATGAATGTGGCTCAATGTCTACATTTATATCGTAGCAGGTTGTATTGGGTGGGATTTTTCCCACTTTGATGGTAGTTTCAGGACATGTAGCAGAAATGAGCCCAGGAAAGGTAACTTCCTATGATTCAGCAAGTCTCAAATGTCTGGCCTCAGTTATTTTAATCAAACCTTTTCTGATTTGCCTGCAACTTCTGTATTTAGACCTGGAAACTCCTTTCATTGTATGATGCAGGATTTGAAGACTTGAGTTGTATATGTACGTTGTATCTATTTGATTATGAACCTGAGGTCTCAATTTATTGTTTTATTGCCCTCAAAGGGAAATACTGCTCAGTCCTTTTTGAGCTGTTGGTCCTTAGTATAACTTAGGTTGAGTAACATGTTTTCTGTGAGATCTGGAGCACCAGAGGCTCTCATTGTGCTGCTTTGTAGTTTTAATCACTGTAGCTATTGTGGATTTATGTTCCAACAACAAACAAGTTGTTTAGTATTTCTGCCCCTACCTCAGGAACTACTCCAGAACATTCACATTTTCACTGAGGAGTTCCTTTGGTTACTTAGCAGGTAGTAGAAAATACTAAAATTATTTGACCTCAGATAAAGGGCTATCATTTAATCTGTAATCTTCATGCAGAGTAAATATGCCACATTGTAATATAGTTCTGTCTGGCTACAGTTGGTTGGGAATTGTGTAACTCCATCTCCCATGTTACATGCTCAGCTGTTTCTGGGGAAGTAAATAGGTGTGACAGTGAGATTAAACAGACCTGTATCCCTCAGCAGAGAGCACAGCCTCCTTCTAGGTAACTAGAGATTCAGAGAGCAAGGAAGACTTTTCTAGCTGAGCAGGTCTTCACAGTGTTGGTGACAGTAGGGTGGTAGAATGGGAATAGCAAGGTCAGAGGAACAACTGACAGTTCCACCAGAAACATGGGCAACAAATCAAAATAATTTGGTACAGGAATCTGAGTTGCTGCATTCACCTTAGTGCAGGACAAGAGCATGTAAGGGGACTTTGAAAGTTCTGTTTCAACTGTGGGTAACTCCTTATACCAGAAGCTGAATTGGGACAGGTAATCTGAAATGGAAGCACAAAGGTGGAGCTGCAAACAGCCACATGCTGATCGAGCCATCATCGTTTGCTTGTCTGCTGTCACCACTGGGTCTGCTGGAATACCAGACCCCCCTGGTTCTCAGTTTATCAGTACTTTCAGTTCCATGTTCTTCAAACAGGCCATTATTTTCCTGGTCTGAAACACCTTTTACCTTCTGTTTTATTTAGTTCTAGCTTATCTGCATCATTCATACTTGATCTGTTTGATTGGGCCTCCAGCTCTGCAGTTTGTAGTTTGACAGAAGTCTGCTCTTTCCAGTGAGATTGGTCAGACATTATAAAGCCAGGGTGAGACTGCCTGTCTGCTAGATAAGAACTACATTTAGTTCTGTTATCTGCACTTGTGTTGGTAGGTGGATTAGGTTTAATTTGGTCCTTTGGAGAGAAGTGGGCAAACTATCCCTCAAACAGGTCTGGGATTTGGTTTAAGGACAGGCTTTCT